AGGCTGAAGCTTTTGCTAAATTCAATGGACTGCCTGTTATGGATAAGCCAGAACCTCGAGCACTCCCTGTACAAGCCTTGGATCATGTCGCAGGGTACTTCCTCGCTTTTGGTATTCAAGCTGCAATTGCAAAAACGATCACCGTGAGTCCTCAGGCCCCAGTAACGTTCGTCGTAGTCAAATTCTTAGAATCTCTTATTGGACAGGAAGGCGGTTCCTGGGAAGTCCGTGTCTCTTTAGCAGCAGTTGCGCAGTGGCTCCGATCACTCGGGCAACTTCCGCCAGATACCGCGTTCAGAGATGGGAGACCTCTTCCAAAGCGAATGATCCCATCAGACCCAGAGGTAGCTGCATTATCGGTCACACTCCACGAGGCGACAGGTGATAAAAGGGACGTTGAAGGGCGTCTCAGGACGATGACAGCTATTCGCCATGCAGCGCAGCTATCCGTCACGCCTGTCAAAGACGTAGAAGCTCCAATGTGCTTGGATCGGCATCAACCCGTGTGGCTGCCGCGTGTGTGAGATGCTAGATGCAAGGAAAGTTGGATGAACTGCTGACGGATCTCCGTTACCAAAGTCTTTTTCAATACAATATGACAAAACCATCAATACTAGGCTTGATAATTAAAGTCAATCCACGCTGGTATACCGTCAAATACTTCTTCCAGTGTGAAGGATGACGCCTGCGTGGAAGTCAGGATATGGTCTTGCGCTACACGTGCCGACGTGCTCCCTCCAGGACCTGCGAGCAGCATGAGGATCTGACGCTGGCAGCATGAGTGCACGAGGCTTACCAGACGAATTAAACTCTGCGTAATAAGTGGTGTCTGGAATGCTTCCTCTGCCATAGAAAATCAGCGATCGGTGTCGTCCCCCTACAACGATGCTTACTTTCCAGACCAGGAACTGAAACCTGCAGGCCGAATGCTCTCATCCATGTAGGTGTTCAAGTACACAGCAATGGCCAGTGCATTCCATGGGCGTCCTAGAGGCAATCCAAACTTAGCATGACAATTAAAAGGTGCGTTCCATTTCTTAGCTTACCGAGAGAACAGCCGGATTTGGTCACAGTGGTAGCATTAGCATCCGGGGACTGAATTTAAAACGAAAACAGTCATTGAAAAAAAGACAAGAGGACCAAACCAGAAAACTGACTCGAATGATTTTGGAATCGGCGATGTATGCCCCATTCTTGGTGCCACTCTTACCCTGCCAGGCTGTGATACCACCGCCACAAGCTCGGTTAGCCAAAATCACGTTTTGGAACCAGCTATTCCAAGAGTTACTCGGAGAGTTTATATATGCATTAATACACACTTACGCCAAGCCAAATCCGAAAAGATCTGCATGCCACAACATCAGCAGTTACAACACGGTTGTTCCAAGACAACATGGCTTACAATCAGTTTGACCATATATTATACTGTCAACGACATATGTGTATGCACCGCTGCCAGTGTACCACGTGTCTTGCCAGCCAGCAAAGGCACATCCATAGAAGGAAGCATTTGCATAGCTGATGGAGGTGACGAGGGCTTGAGAAATCGAGTAGTTGGCCTGAATTAGGTCAGATTGTACAGATGTATAATTATCAGAAAGCAATCAACGCTTACAGCGCGATTTTCGAAGTCGATATTATATGCTCTGAAGTTAGTGTTACCGAAATTTTCTCCAGAGGCAGGTGCAACAGTGAGAGTCGCAGTCTCCTCGTCGGTCAGCCCAGATTCGACGTATAAATTGTACCAAATGTGAACCAGGTTGCGCTGAGAAGCATTCCCCGCTGAATGGTAAGCGGTGGAAGGATCAAGTTGACCCTACACAAGAAATATCTCGGCGATTGAACGTCACGCCTGAGAAAGTGATGATTACCAGAAGAGTGAGCGGTGCGGACCGCGCAATATTGACCTGTTCAAAGTATTCTCCTTCTCCGATCAGAATTACAGCGTCGCCCGTCTGTGGCCTAGGGGAATATCAAGACAGGAGACAAGGAAAAAGTTTCCAGCAGTCACCCACAGAGATTTTATAGCAGCTTGGACACTTGTAAAACTTGCCCTGCTATCTGTGGGCGACACAAACAAGGTTCCTGCTGGGCACCCAGTTAGCGGAGAGGTTTCTGCATTCTTTTGCAATTGGCACGCGAGATAGTTGGGGGAGAGTGCCTGAATTTGCACAAATAAGCTAGCTAGAAATGCAACAAGGCCTGCAAGGTGCGTCAAATATGGTCCCATCGGTGCGTTGCCTTGGGGGAGGGGGGTAATGGATCATCTGCCTACCGTCGCCCTTCGCGCTTATATACTGCAGAGTCTCGTCGCGAGATTTCCACATACATTTCCAGGCTAGTAACGTCGGAAATGCAAGAGAGCCTGATATGTAGCGATCACGATGCAAAAAAGAAGTAGACACTAGACGCCAGATCCGAGAAATTCAACAAATTGTATCCGAGCCTTCTGAGGTGATGCCAGTCGTAACCGAGACGTTGCAACCGTAGTACACCGACTCAGCGTGGGAGAAAATACAAGTCACTCATGTGGGTCGGTGAATGTCAGCAATGTACTGGTCTTCCTGAGTCCGACCGTGACTTGGGCGTGGTCCAAACGCGCTGCCGTGGTACGTAACGGCCACGGAAAATGTAATGCTGAAGTTGTGGCAGACCATGACCCATGATGTGGATTGTCGTCATGTATACTCAAGTCAGAGTCGACCACGAGTCCACGACCGTCAATCTGAAGCAAAGAAACGGGAAGTGATAGTACCAGGTTACCGACATTGTGATTGAAACGAGGAGGGCTGCAAATATCACGATCACGTATGATATATGATATCTAGTTGTTCAGCAACCCCGAGCGAGTATCGGAAATTTGGAATGAGCTACCTTTGACTGAAATATTATTAAGCTCATATGATGAGGAGAGATAGATTACAAGTGGGAATTTCGGTAATCAGTGGATAAAGTGACTAAGCGACAAGACACCAACCCCTGACTACACTCATTAGCTTATTCATTCTTCAGTCTACTCGATGTCACATTATATCCCAACGGTCATCGTACCTTAAGGCCTTACCACCCGTTCGTTCTTGCTGCCTTTATTGTTGATCCCACTAGGCCTCATCGATGGCCTTACTGTCACACTGTGACATCACAATTGAGTCAACTTTGGGTATGCTTCGTACCGTCGCTTCAACTCTTGCAATGTACTATCCTCAATTGTGCGATAATATCAAGTTTGACAGCTCTCTCCTACGCGAAGGGGATGCTCTATGTCTTTTCCTTGCAATGATTAACCCTTGGCTTTACATAAATAAGCGGAGTGTTCATGATAAAATTTAAATTCGAATGTACAGCATATCCTCAATTGCAACCGGCTTTTAGCAACTTGACAAAGGAATTTGGGATGCTCAGCGCTCAGGCCTTAGGCCTTTGGACCCTTGTGCGTTATTACTTGCAAGTTGTTACTGCACTCACTGATTACATTCTGGACATAGACATGACCTCACCGACACGACGAGTGCTATGATTAAGTGAGACTCCGAAGATTTGAAGAAGTTACGACAAGCGTAAATTGCTGTCATTAACAGCACATTCTTGTCGATCGATGAGATGCACCAGCCCTAACATAATATCTCAGTTCAGAAGATATCTCATGACTTGCAGCTGTCCTTGGTAACATTTCAAAGAGCGCCCAGGAGCAGCAGTCCAAGAGCCTGTAGATTGCGGCAGAAGACGAGAACCACAACGGAATGTCCGTTCCTCCCAACCCATGAAGGTGCTATCACCGCGTGTGCGAGCAGGCTGTGCCACCAGAGCCAGGCACATCTTGGCGGTCGCCCACAACGTCAGGCTCTACCTCTTCAGTCCTCCGAGTCTCCACAAGAACTTGCGAGTCTTGGATCCACAAACGGCAAAGTGGGGTTTCACGAATTTGAACTCACGAACTGTCTGGAATATCCTGCAATCTCGGAACATTGGTTGGACCAAGATGGCAGCATGCTTGGCATGTGATACAGCTCCCGTATATCCGCTGGGTCACAGGCTCCCTCTTCGTTTCGTGGACAACATCGAATCAAACGTTTATTCCATCGCTGCACATGCCCAGGGGTACTCACGTACAGCCGAAAGCCCCCTTGCTGCCAGCGCAAAGGTGCAGTATATCGACATGTTCCGTTAGAGTCAGGGTCGGACTCATCACGGAACGGTCAACGTCGCACCTTTCCTTGTTGTTGCAATACCCCTGTATCATCACCTCATAGCTTTTTCGTTAGCTGAAGCCTGATGGACATCGCAGTGGAAATGCTTTACCCAAGACTTTCCTATCATATTTTATTTTTATTTATTGAACTCTGATTTCCATGTTTGAAACCCTATTTGCTCTGCCCCAGCTCGGTTCCGAACCTCGTGGACATATGGCAAGCTGTTGGCGGTGAGTGCGGAGTTCCCTACGATCACGTAAAGCGTAAACGCTGGCAGGCACTCATAGCGGCAGATTAATCCACATAGCTGACACCTGCCGTGTCAGACGTACGATCTGAGTAGCTCCACACAGCGCCCTCGGGTCAGAAGGTATCAGTGATCATGGCTTGTAGCTATCTTTTGGTGGCACTTCAAAGAACACGATAAGTTCAAGGGCGAAGACAGCAGTGGAAGATGGGTACCACAATGACGCGAGTATCTCTTTCTCCTCATGAAGGTATTATCGCCTCATCTATGCGCAGGCTGCGCCAAGGAGCTTCGAGTGTATCTCCCAGGCTCAATTTCTCAAATTACAGCTTTCTCCACATGAACTCGCGAACCTGTTAATGTCCAGAGTCTTTGATTCACGGATGAGAAGTGGAGATTCAAGAGAATAAATCCGGTATACACGGACTGTCAGTTATTCCGTGACCTCGAGGCTTGGAACGTTGGTGTGTGACAGGCAAGTTGTACCTTGGTATGTGACACAGCTTACTTCCGTCATAGTCGCTGGCTCACTGCCCCCTGTTATTTTTTTTACTTGCGTTTCTGTTGCAGATATTATTGAATCAAACATGTTTTCCATCGTTCTAGATGCCCAAAGCACAGTCGGGGAACTTTTGATTGCATCTGAGTACCAATGCAAAGCTGGGCGATATGCAGCGTGTCTCACAATCAGTCGTTGCAGTTGTGCCTGTGCCTGTACGTTGTCGAAACGCTCACTATTGCAATTTGTAGATTGACCTGATTCACCCATCATAAGTATGCAGGATTAGTCTAGTAGCCTAAGCAAACCTTGGACGAATGAAGATAGTCGCTCCTTCCTTGCCAAGGTTTTGTAATAGATACGGTGCCCCTGTTATGCTTTTGCTTGTTTTTCGTCGGCTCACGGATTATGGACCTTGAAAGTGCTCGTAGAAAGGCCTCGTCGAAGCTTTCTTGACATGTTGTGTCCCTAACCTCTATTTTTGATATCAATGAACCTCAACACAGACGGGCCGGCTCAGCACTACCCGGTTTCTCAAACTGGTCAGGATGTCAAGAGACCTTACTCTGCCCGAGCCTGGTTCCGAGTTTCACTAACGTGGGCTTCCCTGCAATCACGTAAACTCCTCGTAAAGTACAAATGCTTCGCAGCCTTGGCTTAACATAGCTCACATTTCGAACACAGCTGTCATTTAATTATCAATGCATCAAGCATTATAGTTCCTTGATACTTGCAACTAGTCTACGTGCTGGTAATGTCCGATTTCCTTTTGGACATCACGAGTACATATTTATATATGGGCAGTGAGTTTTCGCTGATCTGACTCCCCTGCGTACCTTTCTCTTTTCTTAAGGATCGGCGGCACCATTTCCCCTTCTGTTCATAGCGCAACTATTCGGTCTGAGAGTCACTCTGACGATGTCGGTCCCACTGAACGCCGAAATCATCAGTGAAGCGCTGGAAGCGTAAGTGCCGTGTCCCATGCCGTGTCCCTCAGTTTCCTCACCCTCCTACCAGTTACCAAACTGTTGTGGGTTATTAAGTATACATATATCCAATGGTCTAGGCTCAGGAGACATCTGAAGGCTGTTGGCGTCGTTGGCTTCACAATTCTGGTGTGGGATCATGTGATCACGTTTGCAGACGAGGTCCATCTTTGTTATTTTACTGGACCATTGGCTAACCCACCACAGGTGGAGATCATATGGGGTCGTCCGAAGAATCTCTGTAAGCTTATCCATAGATTGTTTTCTTGGTGGTGACATCAACTTTCAGTGACGTTCTTATTCTTGCTCGTATGTTGGCGGCCAGAAAATGATGTTTCCTACCTGACTTTGGTGTAGAATCGGTACCTCACACCCATTGGTTTCATCGTGAACCTTGTTGGTGAGTTCTGAATGCCTGTTGTGCCGACCAGTGACGCTTCAATTATCATGAAGCATATAGCCTGCCTTCTTGGTTGTTCATAGTCAGTACTTTTTGTGTTTCTATGATGAAGACAATCTAACGAGAAATGTAGAAGTAAGAAATCCAATTTTAAACTTCAATGCGTTCTGACAGGTGCATAGGTGCGAGCATTTCGTTCGGTACGAGGGGGCTATGACGGCAGTGGCGATTCAAGTTGTGGGACTAATGATGTTCCTGCGGTGAGCTCTCAGTTGAAATGTGCCAGCCATCACAATACATAATTCCTGAATCCTATCCGTCAGCGTTCGAGCTATGTACCGCGATAACAGATATGTTGTGATCTTTGTGGCAACGTTATTGTTTGTTTGGGTGGCAGTTAGTGCTTGGCTGTTGTCTCACGGCGTGGGTGAGTGCCGAAGTCGTTTGACGTGCGATTTGGGTCCAGTTAATCTGTCGATCAGCTGTCCCTCACTCTCCTTTTATACATTGTGAGCCCATCTACCTGGACGCTTCTTATCTCATCTACTCACAGTTTTCACACAGCTTGTCGTATGGAGTTCTCTGATTGTGTGTATGTTATTTATGCTTTTCAGCGAATGGAATGCTGAAAGCAAACTCAGAGGGGGTCTTGCAGCTGCGTGGGCATGGGTTCCTCTTTGCTATGACACGGTCGTCTTTGCCTTGACTCTGAACCGAACATTGCCCTCGATGCACAACAAAGAGGCAGGGCATATCATTCACACGCTATTCATAAATGGAGTTTTATTCTACAGGTGCGCTCCTGGATCGAACAACTGCAGAATTTTATATGATTTAATTTAATAGTGTAATGTGTGCCATAAACCTTATCTTTACCATCATGGTTGTGAGGGCTCCACAAGGCTTGAAGAACATTACTGGACAGTATGTCTTCTATGTGTCACGTGGCATAGTTAACTAACATCCTCTGAAACCGAAATTCTTTTCAGACTTGAACTTATGTGAGTGTGGTCGAATGGTGGATCTAGCAACTGATTTCCAAATATCAAATGTATAATTTTTGCAGATTAACGGTGAGTCCGATTTACGCAGATCATGAATTTCCTGCCTCATCTTATCCTCGGCCGCATTCCTTTACAAGGTCGCAATGATGTCACGCATCACCCTCAGCTTAAAGAAAGAGGGTACACGTGGCTCTGTACCACTCGACACACATCTTGGAAGCAAATTTCCGCTCTGCTTCGATTGCCAAAGGCGTGTCCAAGATATCATAAAGCCACAACCACCAGCTTCTAGCTCCCAGACTCCTCCAATAAGAACAGAATTAGTTGAAACGCAAGGTCACTCAGGAGCTATCGACGGTAATGTATCCTCTCAAAGACAACGAGACAGCGAAGTTCGCACCTGCTTCACCTGCCATTCAGTGACTGTTGCATTCGACCCTGCGGATGATGAACGCAATCGGTACCGGGAGGCAATGGTTTGAATAAAGATTGTCATACAAAATCCTGTATGACATAGACTTGCAAAGTATGTTATTCAAGTGGTCGATAATACGTTCATTTAACCTCGGATGTTCAAACAGACTCCAGATGTTGTATTACTATTACCAATTGTCGTTTCGATCTTCACACTTTACGGCTAATTAAAAAATCATCCTGTTGAGATTCTTGAACTCTCCTTTGTCCAACAGTAGGCTAACATTTACAATATACCCAGTACTAATACCATTAGCATCGGTAGTAGCCGTGTAGTTTGAAGGAGTAGTGAGTATTACCTATGCACAGCCACTGGTGCCGTCCACGTGTTCGACAACTCTGACGACTTTAACTTAGTCATTCGCGCGAAGTTCACACGATATTAAAGCTGGACATCGGCAAATGCCGAGCAAATGCCGAGGAGGCTCTTCGCCAGTTAACGATGATCCGCAGCTAAAATTACCATGCTCGACAACCCCTATTCCATACATCTCAATGGAATTTGACGATGCTCAATCTTTCAAGAGTGTTGATGAACGGGGTCTCTGTCATGCCATGCCTCATGAACCCCAGGGAACCATCCTAGCCGAAGGTGGCATAATTCTGTCCTGTGTACTGTGATGGAATGCTCGGGAAGCCTGTGCCGTCCTCACACCAGTTAGCCGGACAGTCCGCAGCAGCGCTAGCACTAAAACAGCACAATTGCTGTTGCGCCTGTCATTCTTGTTGGACGCCTGGCAGGAACATGCACTTTGTCACATCTGCTGTTGGATCAAAGATACATAACTCACAAGCGCCAGATACACCGCAGCGATGATGACCATGGGAGCTATTATGTTAAATCCTGTATGCACCGCCCACTTGTCGACTCTTCTCTACACTTCTCCACAGGTGACCTATTGTACGAGCGGGCCACCATCCACATGCCAACATCCCACGTCAGTCCCATCTCCATGACACAGCGAAGACAGACGCTCGGCATTGTGATGCTTTTATCTCGGAAAAAGTACTATTGCTTCACTCACAGTGATGCATGCGTAGACTTGGAAATGTATGCGACCATACTGCTCCACAAGGTTACCCGTTCAACACTGGATGACGACCGACCGCTTGCATTGCTGAAGACATAATATTAAACATCACTTATGCGATACTTCAAGTTGGCACAAACTTGGCATGTGATCACCTGATGGCTGTCGGTGACTTTTCATTTGGACGTACTTACCAATAGCCAACTACTAAGCCGTGATATCTCGGACCCTGATCGGACACGCCCATTGGACCAGTGCTGTTGTGTATAAATGTGTTCATCACAATGTTGTTGACGTTCTCTCCGTCCACAATTCCATTCAGACAACCTTTCGGGATTGATAATCCTAAAATCTTCCCTGAAGCACACACCTTACTGACTTGCTGAGTCTCCCATCATAGATAAATGTCTCACTTACCCATGACAGAACCAATGAAAGATAACGTACTCCAGGACTCGAATGAAACGTGAGCCGTGCTTGTCTGTTGTACGTCTTTGCATACATTATACTCACTATTTCAGGCGCCAAACTATTGTACGTTTTTTCTGCCTAGCCTGCTGTTGCCAGTGGCTGACACGTATCCTATGATTTAGTATGTTGGGATCGTTGGTTTCACCATATTGATTTGGGACCACATTGTCACCATCGCAGACGAGGTGCGACATCACTAGAATTTAGTGAAACTCAAATTTATCAATATATTCTGAGTTAGATTGAGTTAATCTGGCGACGCCCTAAGGGGACTCGTGAGTGTCATCTTTGATAAGGACATGTGCTGGTATCTGAACTTGTTTACCAAGTTGTATACTTATTTCTACTGGTATGCATATGTATTGGCAGTGTCTATCAGTAAAAACTCTCATGTTCCGGGTTAATATTCCAGAACCGATATCTTACTCCTCTCGTCTTTATCATCAATCTGGTTGGTGAGTACTTCACCTTTGACTTATAGTTTCACCTGTAACCTCTACTAGCATATACTCTACCTTCATGGGACTACGCAGTGAGTTTTGATGTTTTACCCCCACTATCTGCCAATGGTGAATCTTACAATCTTGATTGCAGAGGTCGGCATTGCACTGTGCCACAGGACTTAGCTGACATTGCATTTGAAGTTGCCGGCATTTTGTTCGATACGAAGGGGCCACCACAGCTGTAGGGATCGAGATAGTCGGGTTGATGATGCTGTTACGGTAAAATTTGTTTCTCCTCCCGGCAAACATCTACTAATGATGGAGAGCAGCGTCATTGCAATGTATAAAAATCAATGGGCCGCCATTGCGCCGGCAGTGTTCTTACTGCTAGCTTGGATTGTAGTGACTGCATGGCTATTGAGTTATGGCGAACGTATGGTTTCACCT